GAACGATGGGACGGCACGTGAATATTTGATTACCGTAACCCCGTGCTCTCTTCGTCAGTCCACGAACGGAAGTGACCGCGGTGATTTAAGAAGCGTTATTTCAAGCGTTATTGTTGCACCGCGATTTTTCATTGCCACGCAAGAATAGCGTGACACTTTGAATGCTCTTTGAATATGATATATGCATATATATATATATATATATATATGAGTATGTTATTCGAAGGAAATACAAAGCCAGTTTCTTAGCAAAGACTTGACAAAAAATTTTATTATAAAAGTAACTGTTATTGGTTATTAAAGACCATCCTATTATTATATACATCAAAAAATCTCTCTCCCATTAATACTTTTTAATTAAGAGTAGTTGCCGCAATTTTGCGACAGCGTTTAAACTGTAGAAATGTGTTTCGCGATCGAGAAACTAATATGAACACAATGTTTAATCATCATTTTTATGTATCAACGATCCTTGCGTACGACAAATCGCGCGGCCAATCGTCTCCCTTCGTTGAGGATCAGCGAATCTCTACAGGATCAGAGCGGCCAGGAATCGACCCCTTTGTCCTGACTATCCCTCTTGTGTAGTGCACGACGACGGTTAATTTATATTTATCCTCTTCTTCAGTATATACGCAGGATCCTGCAGGCCGTTTCCGATATTCGAGCAGCATAGAAGAAGAGCGTTTACGCGTTGGGTGAAGGAGGAGGAAGGGGGGGGGGAGCGGTCGCGAAAAGGGGCGAGACAACGATGCAGGGCGGGGAAAAGAGAGGAGCGATGGAGTAGATAAATAGATGGATGGGCAATATTATAACTCACCGGCTGTCATCCTGTACGGCCGAGTCAGGCTGCTAATCAGACCCCGGCGCGCTCTCGCCCCTCGACCGACCCTTCACGAAAAATGGATTTATTGCCGTTCGCCTCGACTTCGGCACGCTATCGAGCTCTCTGATCCATAGAATGTAACCATCGTCGTACTATTTGCGTCGGATCCTCCCTCCGATCGCTCCCTCCGGGTCTTCCCGGACTCTCCTGCCCTCGCCTCCACGTCTGCCGAAAGTCGAAAACCGCCTCCTGAAGCTCTTTCGGCTTCAATGTCGCTGAAAGCGACACATTTAAAAATCTCGATGTCAAACTTTTTCGTCAAGATTTGCGAAAGTGAACGCGAAGAATGTGATGTGATCACTATCGATCATTATTTACTCGTATAAAAATATAAGGCAAGTGCATTTGAGAGAGAGAGAGAGAGAGAGAGGAGAGTGAGAGAATTAAGCACTATATATTTCAGAGAAGTAACACGTTGCAAAATCTCTATCAAATTATAAGTATAATATTAAAAAGATATTCTTTATTTTACACAATAATTACACGATAATAATAATAATAATTATACGATAATACAACATACTTTATATCTACACAGCTCTCTCTAATTCTATAGGATTATATATTTAAATAAAAGTACAATTATCCGTTTTATTTAAAAATCAGAGATACAAAAATTTATCAATTATTTTAATTGAGAGTAATATGAATCTTGCATGATGCAAGCTCTTATTAATTAAATGGTTTATTACGTTCAGTTGTATCGTTTGAAATTAATAGTTCCATAAATCATGTCTTCTTCTAAACCGGAAAATTGATATTGCCCTCTTCTCGAACCGCGACGTCCGCGCGGATGCATTCTTACACAGTCGTTCTCTTTCTTCTGTCACCCTTCAACGGGTCTCTCATCCCGCGTCCGACTTATATGCACGTGGGTGTACGGTGGGTTTCCACGAGAACGTGCTGCTTTCACCGCGGTCGATGACGACGAGAGGGTTGGATAGCGGATAGTGAGGGAGGGAGGGGGAGGGGAGAGGAAGGGGGAGGGAAGCAGCCGCGGAACGACAGGAGGAAGAATGGCGTGGAGCGGAGGGCGGCAGGATGGAGAGGAGGGAGTAAGGGGTCAAGTGAGGACCAATGCATCAAGCAAACCGTGACACTCGCCTCCGCATGGCGTGCATAGATCATGCCGACCTCTCTCTCGTCGGTGCGCGACGAGGTTGGCGTGAGACGGGGAGGCGATCTAAGCCGCGGTGATAAAGAGAGGGAACGAGGGAAGGAGAGAGACGGTTGTCCATTCTCCGTTTCTTTCTATCCCTTCGATCACCCTTCCGTATTTCTCTTTCCTGTCGCGACTGTGGCGGGAGAGCACAAATGTACGAGCCGAACGAGATAGACGCGAAGAAGAAGAGAGCAGAAGTGCTTGTGAGACCCACCTCCGCTATGTGAGCGTGTGTATATATATATGTATGTATGCGCTTGTACGTGCGTGCGTACACGCGTGTGTGAGCGTGCGCGCGAGCGTTTTTTCAACGAGATTTATTACCGAACTCCTAATGCTCCGGGACAAGGGGAAGAGGCCGGGAGTCCCTTCCCCACCTCCACCTACTCCTATCGCCGCCGCCACCGCCGCCGCCGCCGCTGCCGCCGACGACGTCGTCGTCGTCGTCGTCGTCGTCGTCGCCGTGTCGACAGTACCTTCTCGCCGTGCCTCTGCCGAGTCTCCGCGCGTCGCTTAATCCCCATGGCTGCCATGCTATTACGAGTTGATTTACATTCTCGCGCTAACAAGGGGTGGGGTAGGGCCCGGAAGATTCGGTGGCCTCCTCGATGGATCTCGTCGATACGCGAACCGGACTGTCTCGGACAAGATAACGCATCGACTTGGCGGACTTTAGATCAAGTTGGTTGGTTTTGTAAAAATTAAATCTGTCGATATAAATTAGTCATTCTCATTAGAATTTTCGAATTTCTATAATTCGTCATGCAAAAATACGAGTAAGGTAGCTAGGATTTCTAGGAAATTGCAAAGAGATTGTATGGCCTCTAGGGCTGTGTCAGAATAAAATATAAATATCTTTGCTAAGAAATTTACGTAAATTTAAGTAAATCGTGTTATTATTTGTAAATTCTACTCTTAACCAATCCAACTTTAATGAGATCATTATAAAAGGATTATATAATCGTAACGTGGCGCGTTTACGCGTCGAAACGTAAGTACCGATTGCAGAGTTGAAGCTCGAGAGATATTCGATCAATGTTCGATCGGAGATAAAAATTCGAGCAGAGAAACACGAGGCTGCACTTTGTGCAGCTAAATGTTATGGGAAGCGGAAAGGTGGTTAAGTAGAAGCCGCTGCATCACTGTCAGACAGGGGAACGTTCCTACTGAATCATTTTACATGTAGGGTATCTCTCTCATAAAGCATCGTGAGATGAAGAAAAAATTATATTTGTTACGTAAACGTAATGCAGCAAATTTGTTTACGTGCTTAATAGTTTTAGAATGTTTATAGGAAGGATCGAAAATAAATGGTAAAATTTTTTAATCGAGCGGATTTATGAGAAAAAAAAACTAAGATATTTTTTTTAAATAAAAAGTCTTTCTCTCTATCTTTATGTTGCGAATGTGCAATTTGTTCTGTAAATTTATAAATATTCTAATTGATATAATAATTATTATATCAAAATTATTATCGCAAGTCACATGTATTAATCTAAAAAAAAACCTTATGTCTCTCCATTATATACGTACATTTTCATCAGAACTTTTTCGAGTCTTTCCCCCAAATTTTCTCGATTCGATATCACATCATTTACATACTGTTTTTATTTTTACATTATACTTTTATGGTGTCGCACAATCCCTGACATGTTTTCGCCAAGATATAAAAATTTTCCAAACAATTGAACGGCGCGTGTGAAGAAATCGCGGACGGCTGGACGTAGGGCGAAACGCGTAGGGGAGAGAACGCGAGAAAAGGGTCGGGGGGAGAGAAAACTCGGTTGGAAGAGAGAGAAAGAGAGGGAGAGATAAAAAAAAAAAAGGAATCAAGTCGCGTGAGACACATCGCCGCGGAAGACGAGAAGGGCGACTCCGCGAGGAAGAAAGACTCTCGGGAACTCTGAAGAGTGGGATGGGGGCGTGGGTGGGATAGATGCTGGTGGGGACGAGAGAAGCGCGGCGCCTCGCCGGGTAGTAGGGATAGTTCAGGGCCGCGGGTAAGGGAAGCGCAGTGTGCCGCGCTGCTTGACGCGGCGGGGATGAGTGAGTAGGGGTAAACGATGTTACGTTGGAGGGGGTAGAGGTGGGGAAGATGATCGCGGAGTCAGTGCGCCACGTGCTGCCGTCGCGATTGGATCTTTACTCTCGCTCCGTTCTGTCAATGAACCATGTACGTTGTCGCGAGATCGTGACTTTTTTTCCAATGGTCAGATTCGAGGAGCGCTTTGACAGATAAGCGCGTTGCGACGATGCGCGTCTCCGCACGGTGACGAATGAGTCAGATATAAGAGAGAGTGAACGTTCCGAGCGGAGGAGAAGTGATTCTCGGAGGACCACGTAAAAGAAAGGAAGTTCAGTGAATGGTGAAGCGCTGTTAAATATCTATCGTGTTACAATGCGCGGCTCGTCGTTGGGATGATGTGGTGATATAATATCGAGGATTTCGCGATCGAAGCGTGCGCCCAGATGATCGTCGTTTCAACGCCGCGTTATCCCTATCGTGACTGCTGGTCCAGGATCGGCGCGTCTGAGGTGTCGGCAGTGACGGCACATCGGGACCGACGTATCCTGCTCGGTAGAATCGCTACTTCGTGGTGAGTGCGATATGTGATTCATGTATTTCCGCTATACTGCGTAGCCAGTGTCACGTTCCAAAGTTTTTAAGTCTATTGTGAATCGTGCGCGTCAACGTGCGTGAATGCTCGTCCTTTGAATGTCTTTGTAAGAATCATGAAAATATCTCTATGTAGGACTTATTCACGCGCGCGCGAATCAGTTCGATTCAATCGTTAGCGAGTGAATAGTAAAAAGAGACATATTTAAAAGTTTAATCCGAATCGTGGAAACTAGAATGTCAAGTGTCAGGAAATCTGAAAAGTTGCTTAATATACATATAATATTTTGCTATAATATTTGAATAAATTTTATATTTTTTGCGAAATCATAAGAGAGAGTGAACGTTCCGAGCGGAGGAGAAGTGATTCTCGGAGGACCACGTAAAAGAAAGGAAGTTCAGTGAATGGTGAAGCGCTGTTAAATATCTATCGTGTTACAATGCGCGGCTCGTCGTTGGGATGATGTGGTGATATAATATCGAGGATTTCGCGATCGAAGCGTGCGCCCAGATGATCGTCGTTTCAACGCCGCGTTATCCCTATCGTGACTGCTGGTCCAGGATCGGCGCGTCTGAGGTGTCGGCAGTGACGGCACATCGGGACCGACGTATCCTGCTCGGTAGAATCGCTACTTCGTGGTGAGTGCGATATGTGATTCATGTATTTCCGCTATACTGCGTAGCCAGTGTCACGTTCCAAAGTTTTTAAGTCTATTGTGAATCGTGCGCGTCAACGTGCGTGAATGCTCGTCCTTTGAATGTCTTTGTAAGAATCATGAAAATATCTCTATGTAGGACTTATTCACGCGCACGCGAATCAGTTCGATTCAATCGTTAGCGAGTGAATAGTAAAAAGAGACATATTTAAAAGTTTAATCCGAATCGTGGAAACTAGAATGTCAAGTGTCAGGAAATCTGAAAAGTTGCTTAATATACATATAATATTTTGCTATAATATTTGAATAAATTTTATATTTTTTGCGAAATCAAAAAAAAAATTTCTGCATTTTATATCACGAATGAACAGCTTTTTTTTGAAAAGAATGCGCGATTTAAGTTTGCACTTTAATGAGAGTCATCAATATGCCGATAAAAACTTAAAAAAATTTATTTGTTAATAAATTACGTTTTCAGATTCAAATTATATAAAGTAGTACATTATCAATCGTAATAGAGACTACAATAATCTTCATCGATAATCTTGCTCTCGCTTTACGAATTTTCGCGCGTAAACAGTTATTAGGAAAGTATAATGTTCTCTGTGAAAATCCCGCGTTATCTCTCTTCGCCGAGGAAAGATTTCGCAAGGTGTCGCGCGTAAGGAAGTGGAAAGTATTCGACTCTCGCGACTGGACGACTTTTTACAAAAATCACACCGTAGCACGGTGATCGTCTCGTCGCGCGAGCGCGTGGCTTGCATAAACAAAAGTGCAGTGCGCGCAGCAGGTGGCGGAATCGCGTGTTGTAATCCTGGTTGCACGCAGGTTCGTCCGCCGCGAAACGGCATTGTTTCTACCCCTTGGAAAATTAATACGCCGCGTCGTAATAACCTCGATCATGCGTATGTGTCCGGCCGCGTCAAAAGTGGAGTCCGCGGGATTAAATTGCACCGCGCGATTCTATTTTCGCCGTGTCCTCGTGCCGCGGTTCGGATTTTCTCTGTCGCGTGCCCTTCCCTCGCTTCGTCCACGTATACACGCGTACACATTCTGTATTCTCTATCGCTATCTCTGAGAATATGTTTGGAATTTTTAGGATAAAAACGCTGTGATTTTCTATAGCGCAAGTGACATATATTAAAAGGCGTGTTTAGATCCTGTAAAGTATATTATTACTTCGATGTGACGTGATGTGCAATATGTGAGGTTATCGACATGTCCTAGACGGTCTAATTTCGATTTGGGTTAAATTTTGATTAGTAAAATGTCAGTATATAATTATAAACGTTACACAGAAAATGTAAAGTGTGTCGATTAAAAGAAGTATCGCGAATGTCACATTTGCTGTCAAATTTTCCATTCAATCTAAAGGGTAGAATAGAGATTAAGAAGGATTCTACATCGTATACACTTGCGTGATTCATGACGTTAAAAAGAAAATATCTATATCTAATCTAATTTTTTATTCCGATGTCATCTCTTATATGGATATCATTTTATTTGAAATATTATAAAGATCATAGATTATATGTCATAAATTGTATATCTTAAATAAGTTGACGTAATAATAGACGAAACAGAAATTTCTTCAAACAGATCTATACTACTGCTTGCAATCCCTGTTTAATCTGTCATAAAGAAGTGACGGGTAACATTTACATTTGTTTGAATTGTATTTTATATGAAAAGTAGTAATTAACGTAAAGTAATAATAAACGATATTAATTTGCGAGATTTATTTATCAAGTTTTATTTCTATACGTTTAAAAAAATAACATGAATATAGTTAAATTTTATCAACTATACTCACAATTTTAACCGCACATCATCGATAATCTCTCTCAAATTCAGGTATTATTTGTAATCAAGATAGATAATCTAAATAAAGAAACTATAAATAATCATAATTAGTAGTTATCGATATTGCACGTAAATAATGGGAACAGTCCAGATTTTATCTTTAATTATACATCCAACACATACAAAACTTTTCATCTTCAAAATTATTCTTGCTCCCTACTTGCATCATGGATGACACAGAGCGTGCATCAAAGAGAATATGCGTGTCTATGCATCCCTGCGTGTGGTTTACCCCATATCCGCGTTAATTGTCAGTTCATCAATATCACGCCTGAAAAAAATGCATTTTTGAGCGAGCGTACTCCGGGGGCGCGCACTCGAGTGGACACCTCCACCCTTTTGCCACCCGCCGGGGGAGAAGGGGGTGAGCTGCTTCTTGACACGCTTTCCATCTTCGGTCTGATGGATGTGGTAAACGCTGGCGTTGACAGTGCGTTTTAATTACGAGGTCCGCGTTACTGAAGCTATCCGAAGTGGGTCCCGGCTCGGTGACGGGATTGAAAGCCGCGTCATCGACGAGAGATTTTTCGTCGCGGTACAACGATGGATCACTTCGATCGTGATCCATCGTGACGTCAGGCCGCGGCCTTCGATTCCGAAGCGACACAGTTCGGCCTGGTTTTTTTTTTTTACCGAGAGTATTTATTTTACGAACGCAGAACGCGAATCGCACGCGCGCGCGGAAGCCTGAACGGCAAAAGGAACACGACGTCGCGTCTTTATCGTTAACCTTATTTCGAATCGAGAGAGTTCACGATGCAATTAACGAGATGCAACGAGTCGAATAAGGCGCGGGCAGCACGATCGGAGAGAGCTGGCCTGTCAATCTTCTTGCTTCATCCTTGCAAAAGTGGTGCATTAACGCGCTGCGAGTCGGTCATGTGTGCGCTCTACCACATACGATGAGTCGCATTTATTCGTGCAGATATCCAATGTTAGGCTTTTTCTTTTTGTCGATAGTAATCTCGAAGTCAATTTGGATAGTCGAATGCTTCATTTTTAATTACTGCATCAGCCGATGATTCGATAATCGATATAAAGGGAGACATATCTTGAAGTGATTAATATAACTTTATAAATTGCAAAAATTTAATTATGATTTTGTTTTGTATATGTCATCATTTCCTTCCGCAATCGTAGTGTGTTTAGAAAAATTTAAGAAACCGTAAAGAACAAAGGGGACATCTCCATTTGCATAATGTATTATTTTAACTGCTATGCTTACACTTACGCTTGACGTTTGTATATAAACGTTGACGTGAATTAGTTTATTATTTTAGTCTTGGACACCTGAAGGGGCATATAAGTCTTTAGAGTTGCGTGGATTCAGCAAAGTGTGTTCGCATATTGCGTTTGTGTTAATATAGACGTTTATTGCATACATAATGTGCATCCACATATTGTGAGACAGGCTGTGCTTACACAGTTATCACATTGAGCAATTCATAGAAATTGTTTCAAAATCCCATCTGTAGATAAGATTTGTTGACACATGTTTACTTAACTTTTAATCTTGATTTATGTTTATTCGAATAAAATTTTAATTAATAGATCATATAATAATTTTTTTTTTTTTTTACGCGAATGTCAAATATTTAAAAATAATAATTCTCGTGACATACAAATAAATTAAATTAAAATTTTATAGCAATGATTTACATTGATAAAAAAGTAGCAACTTTTCTGTGTAAAAAGTAAAATCTTTTAAACCTTCTTTTTTTTACTTAGTAAAAGTTGTAAGAAATTATAGGAATACTTAATGCACGTGTACTATAAATTTAATGCTTTTTTTGTTTTATTAATTTTTTATATTAACCTGTTATAAACGATCTGTTTTATTGTGCGTCACACGCACTTGGTGGCAATTGCTGGATATTTACGAGACAATTCAATGTGACAAACATCGTACGGGACGATAAATTCCCTCGCGTGTCTCTCGTCATTAATTAAATAAGTTTTTAACAGACGTACACTTAAACAATTAACCAACTTTCTCGCAAACGGATATTGAAAATTGACTCTATGAATTAGAATGAGAACGACCAGATATGGAATTCATATATATATAGAAATTTCGCAAATATATGGATTATTGATTTACAAATATATGGATATGTATATAAATTTATATACATATATGTATATATATGTATAGACAAATTTATTTTCCATTGGTCATACAACTTAAAATTCGTGGACTTAAAATGAAGCGGACATGACATCATCGGACAACGATTAAATCATGTCATCATGAGACGCCTCCGAGTGTACGTATGACGAGTCATTACGAATTCATGGGAAACACACACAAAGAGATTTTACCATAAATATCGTTTATTTATTTCTTGCAAATTCAATTCATCTCCTAATTCATAAAATTATTAATTTATTATTATTTATATAAATGTGTTTGCGACTTTTTCGACAATTGCGATCGACAGAGCCGTCCGAAAGGATATAAATGCTTGAATTGAACATAGATAGCAGTATTAAAATTGTGAAATAATCAGTAAAACGAGAGCAGGAAATCAAGTCTTTCAATTTTAATTACATGATTGTCTAACACGGAACGAAGTTTTTTCATTCAAAAAGCTGCTTTCTCGGCACCCGGTATCTAGTATTTTTTCTTTTAGTTTACATTATATTAGTCGACTTATACTTACTTTATTCGGCCCTCGTGAATTTCGACAAATTGTTGTTTAATCGCGAAACAGCAATCGATTCGCGCGAGAATGCACAGTGAAAATTTGTCGTCGTCGTAAATTCACGTCTGCGCGTAGTCGTTCTTCTTCCACCAAGAATCGCGTTGCATCACGTTCGTCCGCATTCGCGATAGGGAATGCTACGACTCTGTTGATTTATGAGTCAGTTTCGTAAGCGTAATGATGGGAGGATTAAGATTCCGCTTTTATGTGTCGGCGGATAACAGCGTGGATCGAAGGTAATTATCGTATATGTTTTCTTTTTACCGTGAGACACAGACTCCATCGAGATGCCATCGTTATAATTTAACACGGCCGGGGACGGTCGGTAATAATATCGCGGCTAAAGAAATATCTGTTCCTGTCATCGCTCCTATTTTGCTCGCACTCGAATCACAAGCATGCCGCAAAGGAGATA